ATTGCTCTACAAATATTTTCCCTGAGGTCGGTTCGAGATGTCACTCAGAGTCATTTCCCAGCATAGTATTTCCATTGACGTGAATTACTCGTCTTCGGAAATGCGGCTTACATTACGGATCTCACGGATCTCGACCTAATTTTTTGATTCCATGCAGCGCAGGCCACTTGTGTTCAAAGCACCTTTGTGCCTAAAACCAGAGCTCACTCACCTGCGTAACGGATCCTGAACCCTTTCTTGCTGGTCGCGTGATCAGTGGACCAGCGCAGATATAACTGAGGACCCCTGCTTGTGAAGTTGGATTGTTCCGTGTGGTTCCCACTTAAAACCACCAGCAGAGGGCTCTGACCAGAGGGACCTAAGTCACACAGGAAAACAGGAGAGTTCAGCTGTGAGTTAGCACCTACAAGATGCATGCTACTTTTAGCTTTTTAAGCATTGGAGTCGAAATGTACAACACAGAGCGATTTATTTCCATGGTGGACAAAAAACTCCTAATGAATACAGCAGCGCAGGTACGCCCTGATGAATATAAATTAATAGCCAACCCAAATAATCCGGTGTACATGTTAAAACATAACACTTAAATCAAATGAACCTTACCTATAAAACAGTAGTAATTGAAAAGAAGTCATCTGTCCTATCTTTAGTATCTGTGCATTGTACGGATACAGACCAAGAGGAGCCCTCGGGCAATCCTGGGGGGCCAACACATTAGCACCTCACTTTGGAACACTGAATGTTTAAATACAGTTCTGTAAACTCTATGACCTTGCAAAGGCGTTATTTATACAGCAAAATGTGTATTCCAGCCTTGTTTCTTATGACAAAATTTAGATCCTAACTAGTAGTCTGAAGTTTTAAAAACAGAATTGAAATTGCCATCAAAAGGAATTGCATGCAGCATTTAAGAATAATGAATGGGATAAACGTGTGTCAGCACAGGTCATCCTTAAAATAGTGACAACCGAAGAAGTGTATTTGCAGATAAATGTGATAGCTGTTGTGGAAAAATAAAAAGTCTGAAATACATCAACACATAAATTATGTGTGTGAGTGTGTGTGTTTGTACATAGATAGGGGATGATGACAGAAGATAGACTGATGGTAGGCATGGAGTGGGGGGAGGGAGGTGGGGGAGAGAGGGAGAGGGAGAGGGAGAGGGAGAGGGAGAGAGAGAGCCAGAGAGAGAGACAGAGAGAGAGAGAGAGCAACTAAGGTAAATTTAATAAAAATCCTAAAATTCATTACATTGAGTAATGAGTCCATATCTATGTTTTCTACTTTTTTACCTCTCTGTACATTTGAAACCTTTAATAATGTAGAAAGCAAAGTTAATATCAATGCACAGTTAATAAAAGCATGTGAGGCGCAGAACTGACTAACATCCCTCCACCATCATCCTCAGGCCATGTTACTTATTGAGGGACGTCCTCTCTGGGATGTGGGCTGAGTCACACTGCGGGGCTGGTCTGTGACACTGACAGTGACCTCAGGGCTTTCTCATGGCCCAAAAGCCTTCATGGCTTTTCTCCACGACTCATTTCACTCCCGGGAAACGCATCAGTGGGGCAGAATGTGGCCTCGCTGCTGGACGTGGCACAAACTCTGTCAGGCTAAGGGACGCCCATCTTTGAGAATCATGCGTAGCATTTTTGCTCCTGTAGGAGGCTGAGAAAACCCAGCTCCATTCATTGTGTAACTCCCAATCGGAGCAGTTGTGATGCTTTTCCCAAATAAAGCTGTTATGGGCTGGACTGTGTCTCCTCACCCCCGCTGAACACTTTCTATGTTGAAGCCCTAACTTTCAGGATCTCAGAATATGACGACATTAGAAGACGGGGTCTTTAAGAAGATAATTATGGTTAAATGAGGTCACTAGGGTGAACCCTATTCCAATCTGACTGGGGTCCTTCTGAGCAGAGGTGATCAGGACACAGGCACACACAGAGCGACGGCCGTGTAAGGACACGGGGAGGAGGCAGCCATCTGCAGCCATCTACATGCCCAGGGGAGGCCCTGGGACATGGAGACCTCACATCTGTAGCTTCAGAATGGTGGGAAAGCATTGTGTGTGTTTCGTGTTTAAGCTGCCCAGCCTGTGGTGTTTGGTTACAGTAGCCCTTTCGAGCACATTCAAGATGACACAGCCCGGGTTCTGTTCAGTCGGAGTGGAGAATCGGAGAAAAGCTGCAGGCTGTGAAAGACTGTCCTGTGCTCAGTGTTCTGGAAAAGGGCGGCTGTGTTTCATAATCGAAGGAGACAGGGCTGTGTTTTGTGTGCTGGTCTCCTTGTTATTGCTGTCTGAAGAGATAATG